ACAAAGCAAGGAAAATATAGATTTATTCCATTCTGCTGTGAAAAGATAACTAAAAGATAACTAAAATAAAAGTTACTTCAACTTCTATGTCCAAAATTTAGCAAGATATATGTACATTATTTTTTTTTATTGCATGAAAGAAAATAAGTGTATTTAGCGTATAATCTGCAGGAGTCTTGTGTACATTCGAATCATTCATGGTTTAAATGACAAATTAAACCAATTGCCCACAGAAGGATAAGTATGGGGTATGGATTAAGCGTGGATGGGTGTGTACTTAAGAAGTGAAAATTTTGTTGAGTGTTTTAATGATAATTTAGCATTGTAATTCTTTATTGGGTTCCTGTGTTATATTTGCCTGATTGTGAAATTATGCAACGAAATTTGGCTAGATAATTCATTTGTTTGTTAAACATCTTTTTCTATTTTAAAAATTGCTATCTGGTCAATTCTCTACGAAAAGGAGGTTCACTTAATTAAAGAAAACGAGCAAACACTAGTACAGAATTGAAAGAACATCCATAGACCATAAGATACTAGTATAGTTATCTCTGTAAACAATCACATTGTAAAAATGCACTGCTTCGAAATTCATTAGTGTTTTTAAATCTACGTAAGGTGTATTACGCCAAAAGCACAACTGTATAATTTTCTCACCTGTATTTGATAGTAGTTAATCAATCTTTTTTGGTTTCAATCCTTTCACAGTGCAATTGTTGATATATTATATTTAAAAAATAGAAATTTAGGAAATTTAGAAATTTGTCAGTTTGATTAATATACTTGATTTTTTTTTTACATTTAAAATAAAGTCAAATTTTGCTTTTGGTGCACTGTAGGGCGAAACCAATAGATGCATTTAAACGGTTAACTCTGTACGTATCACGCTGACATGCTGTCTTCCGTTATGTAAACGCACTGTATGTTAAAGGCAAATGAAACCGTCCACATAATCAGCAAATTCATTGCAAAAACACTAAACTTATAGTAGAATTACTTGACAGGTAAGTTTAGTGTGTCACTTTTGTAAAGACTGTCATTCTGTGGTCATTTGTCGGATTGGTCATGATTTGTACACACCATTATAGACGCTAACTGCAAGTACGACCATCTTTTGTTCTGAATATGCTACAGCGGCAAATGGTACAGCGATTTTTTTCAAAACTTCACGTTTATTGTGATATTCATCATCGTACCTGTCGTAAAGTATCATCTGCCAATTATTGTGACATAAATCAAGAGTACCGGGTATAATGATCAGCACGTGCAAAGTTTGAGGTCGATTTGATGCTTTGCATCAAGTTATTGTCCTGTTCTGTTTTTATTTTTTAAGGCTGTTCATAAAATGCTAATTAAAGATGACAAAAACAACTGCACAACTAACTTCTAAATTAAAAAAAATGGTTTGCCAAACCGTTCATATTATTTAAACCCCCTTTTAGGGTGTACTCACCGTTGTAATGGCATGTAAAGATAACGAACAGATATCCAATGAAACCATTCAAATTGTGAGCAGAGCCAACACGAACCTCTGCAAGTATCAAAGGTGGGATCAGGTTCCATGGAAGAGTAAGCATCTGCTATCGACCAGTCATACCCGCCGTGTACCTATTGTCGTGATCGGTAAATGGAGTTGTCAATTAAGTGCTAAAATAAATGGGCTAAACATTTGATAAACCTCAGTCAATATTTGACCCAATGGCAGATTGTACTTACAAACAAGGTCATGGTATCGGTCATAGAATTTGCCAGAGATTGACAGTAAACGAGAATTTACGTAACCTTATATCATCGACTTATTTGTCAACAGTCTGTCTCATTTTAGAAATTGTTAGTACGAAGAGAATGCTCTTGCGTATCGTTACAATTGGAAAATATAAACCCTAATTACAGGTTATTATGGTATATATGTATACAAGTAAGCGGAGATGACCATAGAAAAGTTGAAGTCTTCACATTTTTCATAAACTTTTGTTGTTAATTTGCCATCATTGTCTTTCTCTTGTTAAATATCCAAATATGAAGCAGATGTATTAGACTCTGTGGTATCTTTTATTTAGAGTTCAATAAAATGTATAGGACCAAAGTATGAATAAAAATGAAATTTGGGAATAGAGAAAAACGTCGTCGATATATGTAAATGTTGAATTGAAGGCTAAAGCAAGACTTATTCATTTTATGATAAAGGTTTTGAATAAATTCATCTTCATAAGAATACAAAGCATGCTAATAATAGGACACAGTAAGTACTTTTGGAATTCCAACAGATTGCTGGAAAACATGGTCTCCAAAGAGTTCAAATATATTGTCAATGACGAAATCAAGCATCTTTTTATATCTAATTCGGAGTACTTACGTGTTGAATCAGAATTGTATTAACAAAATAAGTTTGTAGATGACCAAGAAGCGTAGGAAAATTTGCCAGAGAAAATTTGAAAGAGGCTTGGTGAAACATTTGCTAGATCCCACTTTGCATCTTTAAGGATTTTATGAGGTTTTGGATTCCAATATAGGTACGGTAATTCAAAATCAACTTGGACGTCAAGAATATTGAAAATATGTAAAACTGACATTTTGTTTTTGAAGAATCTTTTCCTCAGAAAGGGAAAATATGAGCATAAGTTGTATTAACACTATTAGAATGAATTCCAAGTTATACTAAAATTCAGTTGTGATAACGAAGCTAACAAACAAAGACGATGTTGTTACCTGTCTGATAAGCTAGGACCAGTACATATTGACTATGTCAACTGGCTAAGTCACTTTTGCATCACTGAATACAGAAGAATAGATGGTTCCTATATGGCTCCTCAATTCTTTAACGCAATTTTAACTTGCATGTTATACTTTGTATCCATTCTGACAAAGTTTTAACGTCTTCTCCCTCATACTTAACGCATTATCGACAGGATCCATAATATTAGCAGAACTATTTTTGTATTCAAATGAAGGAGAATTCATTAAAAAACTTCTACATGAAAAGAAGAAGATTCTTGCTATGGTCTTCATTTCAACATTTAGGTATATCGGCGACGTCTTATCAATTAAAAATATTCATTTTCAATTCTACGTTGATTCGATATATCCATTTGAATAAGTATAAAAGATACCACAGAGTCTGAAACATCAAATATGGATATTTTACTAGAGCTAACAACAAAATTTATGATGAACGTGATGACTTCAACCTTTTTTTAATCGTCAACTTCCTGTATTTATGTAGCAATATACCATTATCACCTGTACATAGAGTATATGTCTCCCAGTTGATACAGAGTATAGGTCTCCCAGCTGATTCGATACGCAAAGGCTATTGACAAATAAGGTGATGATGCAAGGATATCAACTGTTTCGTTTAAAGTCAAACTTTCACAAGTTCTATGGTCGATACAATGACCTTGTCAGCAAATACAATCCGTTGTTAAATCGAATGTTCACTGACGTTTTTCATACAAATTTTAGGTCATTATTTCCACACTGAATTATCTACGGAGTATTCCGTTTGCCCACTCATTACAAGGAGTATATTGCGGGTGTGACCGATCAACAGGGTATGCTTAATCCTCCATGGCATCTGATCCCACCTTTAATGTTTTCAGAGGTCCGTGTTTGCTCTGCTCCCAATTTGAATTATTTCAATAAACTTTGATTACTGCTAGTTTTCTACATTTTTTTTCATTTATAATATTCTGTAACATTTCTGTAACAATTTGCAACATTGTTTTAATATATTTCTATTTTGAAAGTATGTTTTACATTTTTCTTTGAACTGTGATAAATTTCAATAAGTTCTCTGAGCCCGAAAGACTTTGCTTACGATAGGAAGTCAACAGGTTTTTTGTGGGCGGGATTATAAGTTATGAATTTTTTTTAATTAAATAGAAACTGATTATCATAAAAATAAGATATGGACATGTGGAGGATTATTATATGTATGCTATGTTCCATAACTCTTCTGATGAAAAAAAAAATCCTACGGTTAATAATAAAGAATAAAGGAAGCCTTTCTTCAGATACTTAGATACTACTCTCTGCAATATGTATTTTAAAACAATTCTTAAAATTATGATGCTTTATCTAAATAACAAGAATACAAACAGCAGATAAATTGTTTGAGTTTTTCGCCAAAGTACCAATCGTTAAGGTCTTCCAAAAATAATTGCCAATTCTTCTTTTTTCCCCATATTTTATTCTAATTTTTTTAATTTTTTTTTTTGGCTGTGTCAAAAGTTCCTGTAACTACAGTGCTGCCTAAAATTATCATATTTAATGCCTAATATCTCGGGTTCTTTGGAGTCGTTTTGTTTAACACTGTGTTGTTGTTGTTGTTGTTTTTATTTATTTTTGTTGTTGTTTGTTTGTTTGGTTTTTTTTTTTTTTTTAAAAGATGATCTAATTACATTTTGTATTCCGCTTTTCGATTATGACGTCATTGAAAAATATATTTTATATATCTCCGTTAGAGGCATACAAGTGTATTAATATTTAAACCCCGGGGTTGCAATATGAATAATATCTTAAAGTCTTTGTAAGGTTTTTTTTATATCTGGCTTTGAACCCTTTCTCAATATATCTTCTTTTAATTTCTTTATGCCAAAACATGGTGCATAAAAGTTTTACATAGGAAATAATCTCAGGAACCACAGGGCCAAGGGTAGTTACAATAATATTCAATGATCTTCAGGTAGCGAAGTTTTCATTTGTTCAAATTGTGGCTCCTGGGGTAGGGTGATAATAGGTGGAGACCAGAATTTTCATATGGGACACATAGCGTACAGTTGGCTTAAATTGTGGATTTAATTTCACACCATTGGAAAATGTCCCCTGATGTCTAAACGAAAGTAGGTGTCCTATACCAGCATGTCTATATACCTGATTTTAAATGCCGACTCGCCGCCGAAATCTTTACATAAATTACCTGTTGGTTTGATTGACTTTATTCCTGAGGGGTTACCTGTTCACGTTCAACCACTTTATTGTTGACAGCGTATTTCTATTTCCACTGAACTGCATTGCCTTCAGAAAACAGCATGGCTGAAGAACTATTCATTGAAGACTATATCACCATCGGTGTCTATTTTGTTATTGTTCTAGCAGTCGGACTTTGGGTATAGTAACTTTTACCTTTAAAAATAAGCATGACTCGATCAGCTGTTCGGATCTCTTCTTCCAAAGAAAACTAATATTAAATAAGACTTTTAAAGACATTTACCTTTCTCTTTGCATAAAGAAATTAAAAGTTTTGTATGAGGTAAATTTAAACTCTTCTTGTTTTTAGTCGACATTTCGACCAAACAAGGGCAATGCCAAGGGATATTTTCTGGCGGGGAAAGATATGCACTGGATACCGGTAAGGTTTACAATAACACACACATGTGGCTCTGCTATTTTTATTACAAATCAGTCAGCTGTAAATTTCTGTTGTACAAAGTAAACAATAAATACCACATCGTGAATTGAGTGAATTTACGAGCCTTAAAAAATGTTCAGTCCATCAGTGGAAAATATCTTTCCTCCATTGAGGTATATTCCAGTCACATTATACTTACCTCAATTTCCTACTATCATAATGTGATAACTATCAAATTATATATTACGTTTAAAACCTAGCAGTATTAACTACATTTAACTGAACAATGTAGGATGTGAGATTAAGGACTCTGCCGTTGATCAAATTTTCTAGATATAGTCCAAATTTTAAATCAAAGAATTAGCTTTTTTTAATAGCTCTCAAAACTTAATGTAAATTTATAGAAAATATTATAATCAATTGATATGATTGGTTTTTCAAAGTGTCAAGAATCACAATGAACTTGGATGCAGACATTAAAAAGCACTTCTTCACTACAAACCTTTTTGTATTCCTATGATGCTGAATTTATTCAAAATAAAAAGAAATTTCTTGCTCTGGCCCACAATTCGACATTTAGATACATCGACGATGTTTTATCAATTAAAAATAGTCATTTTCTTTCCTATGTTGATTTGATATATCTCATTGAACTAAAAAAAAAAAGACACCACAAATTCTGACTGATCTGTATATGAAATTTGAATTTTAACAAGCGAAAGACATTGATGGCAAACTATCTTGTAAACTTTATGATAAACGTGATGACTTCAACTTTTCTATTGTCAACTTCCCTTATTTTTGCAGCAATATATCATTATTACCCCATATGGAGTTTATGTTTCTCAGTCATTCGATACGGAAGAGCATATTCTACGTACGAACAATATCTAAAATGATGCAGGCTATTGATAATTAATTTGATTATTCACATATATCATCAATCCCATTAAAAATCCAGAGTTTGCAAATTCTATGGTCGAAAAAATGATCTTTTTTGCAATAGCAATCCGTAGTTGGTCGAATGTTAAATGAATTCTCTCATACAAATTTTAGGTCACGATTTACATATTGAATTGTCTACAGTTTATCCTCTCTATCCAATCATGACAAAGGTCAAATGCCGGGTGTTACTAGTCGAGAGGGGTGCTTACTCCTTCATGGCACACGATCCCACCTATGTTTTCAGAGAATCCGTGTTGCCTCTGATCAGTATTTGTATTATTTAAAAGAACTTTTTGGCTTGATCACTGTTTATCATCGTAACATTTTATTGTGTTATTCAGTTGAAGTTTTGTCCTCTATGGCAATTTTGATATTCAGTCAAATTTTGCATAGTAAATGTTAAAATGTTTGTTAAGGACAATATGATAATATCTTGTGCACTTGATTTAATCGAAGATACAGCTCTTGATTTTTCTTTCAGTTCCGAAATACGTGTTAGCTTAGAGATATCAGTACCGTGTGATTTATCAATTTGTCATACAGTTTATAGGCAATATCGGGCCGTTACAGATACAGTAAATTTGAAAACAATGGATTCACGACACAACAATGCTTTGAATGATGTTTGATAAATTAAAATTCGAAATAACCTGTACAAAATGAATATTCCTATGCATAAGATATTTGTGTGTCCAGAGAATTGCATGTTTTCTTTTGTTAAAGTTCTTTTGTTATGTAAAGCACCAAAATTATATTCTAAAACAAGATGTGTTTGTGAAACACTGATGTCTCCGTATTGCAGCTTATGGCGAAGGTTAAAGTAAAGTTTCTCAAAAGCAAGTCAAAATTCAGGCAAAAGATGGAAAATGTTGGTGCCCAAAGAAAGGTCTTGTCTCGAGGAATATACCTGTGAAATTTGAGAGCCCTAGCACCAACCATTCCAAAGTTATGGCCAAGGTTAAAGTTTTTCAAAAGTAGGTCAAACTCCAATGTCAAGGTCAAAGTGTCAAAGTGGTTGGTATCCAAAGGAAGGTGATGTCGCAAGAATTACATATGTGATGTATAAAAGCCCTAGAATCAACCATTCAATAGTTATGGCCAAGGTTAGTTTTTCAAAAGTGGGTCAAACTCCTAGGTCAAGGTAAAATGGTCAAAGTGGTTGGTGTCCAAAGGAAGGTCTTGTCACAAGGATTACATATGTGAAGTATAAAGCCCTAGCTCCAACCGTTCAAAAATTATGGCCAAGGTTAAAGTTTTTCAAAAGTAGATCAAAGTCTTAGGTCAAGGTCAAAGGGTCAAAGAGGTTGAGATCCAGAGGAAGGTCTTGTCGTAAGGAATACACATGTGAAGTTTGATACCCCAAGCACCAACTGTTTAAAAGTTATGGCCATGGTTAGAGTTTTTCAAAAGTAGGTCAAACTCCAAGGTCAAGATCAAAAGGTCAAATATGATGGTACCCAAAGAAAGGTCTTGTCACAAGAAATACACATGTGAAATATGAAAATCATATCTCCAACCAATCAAAAGTTATGGGCAAGGTTAAAGTTGACAACAGACACAGACAAACAGCTAAACAGATAAACAGACAAACGGACAGACAGGACAAAAACAATACACCCCGGGATCTTTTGATCCGGGGGCATAATAAGTTCTCTTTTAAAGTGTTTCTGTTTTAAGTTTAACGAAAAGAAATTGAAAAAAGAAGGAAAAAGAAAAAATAATTTCACATGTTAATTAACCTGCTATATATTCATGGTAGTAACAAAATTGTTAGATTCTGAAAATGTGCATTGTTTAATATTCTTCTGATCCCTAGCCTTTGTGATGTATGCAGGAGAAAATGTAAAATTAATGAGGTACTTGTAAAAACATTTGAGGTTAAAGTCTAAATAGGTGTATCAAATTGTTTATTCCACTTACACTGTTTAAGTATTTAGACTTAGTTTTCCAGGTCACATAGTCTACATGAATTCGTCATGGTGATTTACATTAAAGTAAATTGCCATGTACCCTAATATCAAGCGGAGAGAATTTAAGGAGTTTATTTGTGACATTGAATATAACATGTACATTCTATTGGGTGAGCATTCGCAGTCTACATTAGAAATTCGTACGTATGCTGATTTCATAAGACCTTTCCTATGTTACGGTAGTCTTTCAAGTGACTTATTGTCCTTAAATCGTACGTCGTTTGTCTTGGGTTTTAAAGATGTTTGTACTAAGTTCTTTTTTCAGAACCACACAAATTAATTGTATCAGAATTTACCGTTTGTGGGATAAAAATGTGTTCATATTAAACAATACCAACCCTTTCAACTGGACATGATAAAGATAACAAGATATGATATACCATAAAAAGAATTTTATGTAGAAACCAGTACCTTAACAAATCAAATCTTTTTAATCCAATAGACTACCCACAAACTAATGGAACTTTTCGCAAACAGTGGCAAAACATAATTAAATTTTCTCCGGAATTTATCGAATTGTACGAGTGACCTAATTTTGTGAATGTTCAACTCAAAACCCTTCAAGGATGAAGATAGAATGGGGATGAAAAGCTTTCAAATTTTACAAACTATTATGTATATGCTCCTTTAAATTGTAAATTCAAGTGATTGCAAATTATTATGTATGCCATGCGGTGTACGTTGCTATTTAGTCATTTCGCCAATCCAAATCGGTATAACTTTTTAAATATTAAAATGTAATATCTAAATTATTCCGATTGGTGATATCACCCGAAATAATGATATCAACTTTAAATTTTGAATTAGTGGGCTTAAGACCAGCGTAATTTATCAAATAAACTTCTTGAATCATGATGTAAAATTTACATTTGAAGATAAACGATTTAAATTTTATTATACCTATTTTGAATAAACCTAGAAACATTTCTTAGGCTTTCTATTAGAAATACATGCATATGATCCATGCATTGCAGTCCTTTTTAAAGGACGGTAACTTGTTTTTAATTATTAAAGTGTCTTTGTGCTATGGAGGTGAAGCCTGCAGTTAAAAAAAGCATTCCTGTTGACCGTTCACACCCTCCGTGAGCCCTATTGATCAAGAAGGCGGTATATTACGTAGTGAAATTTAATCTTCTCAATAGGTATGAAACAATCACAATACAACCAAGTAATAAGTTGTATATGTCATAATTTTGATCGTAGAATCAACGAGCTTGTTGAAATCCCTGTAACAACAACTTATTTGTCATTAGTCTGCCGTGGATTAAATTTGATCCTACTCAGAGCATGCTCTAGAGTATCGAATAAGTTGGGGGACATAAACACCATATGCAGATTATAGTGGGTCATTGCTACATAAATGAAGAAAGTTGATGATGGAAAAGCTGAAGTCATCTCGTTTGTCATGCATTTTTGTCGCTAGTTGGTCATTAACGTCTATAGTCAGTAGAATATTTAAATATGACAGACTCTGTGGTGTCTTTAATTTCAAGTCCACTGTGATATATCAAGTCGACGCATGAAAAAAAAAGGTAAAGACAACAAACAGTGATAGATCTCAAAAAATCCATAAACAATACAAACATGCGAACAGGGTTCAAACCACGACCCCTGGAAATTCCAAATGTGAGATCAGGTTCCTATGAGAAGCAAGCATCCCCTGTCTGCCGGTCAATTCCGCCGTGTATTGATAGTATTGATTTATAGTCAAATTCAGTTTCAAAACAAAGGTCTAACAATTGGTAGGAAAAACGTCAGCAAAAAACCACCCAGTGATAGGTTATGTTTGCTAACGAGGTCATTAGAACAACTTAGAATTTACATTATAACAACTTAGAATTTACGAGTTGCTGTTGCTGACTTTAAACGAAGTTGTTGAAATCCCTGTAACGTCAACTTATCTGTCAGTATCCTGCCTCAGTTTAAAAATTGAACGTACTTAGAGCATGCTTTTGAGTATGGAAAAAGTTGGGAGACGTAAACCCCATATGCAGGTGATAGTGGAATATTACTACATGAATGAAAGTAACTATTGTTAATTGATAAAACGTTCTCGATATATATAAATGTCGAATTGAAGCCAAA